GGTTTCCGAGGGCGGGCCCTCGCGGGGGGCGGGCCCAGGGGCGGGCTCACCTGCGGCGCAGAGGCGGTGCATGCGCAGGTAGCTGATGGTGAGGCGCATGATGGACGCCTTGTCCAGGTGCGCGCTGACCCCGCGCGCGAAGGGCAGCGTGTGCGCCAGCTGGTACAGCACCTCGGTCTCCTGGCTGCGCCGGCTGCGCGCCGCATCCCGGGACTTCTCCTTGCGCAGCTCGGTGCTCGACCTGCGGGCAGGGGCAGCGTTCACGGGCGGCCCCCGGGAAGGGGGAGCGGTGGACGGGACAAGCTCGCGGGGCGCGGCCACGTGGGGCCCGGGCTCGCAGTGTGGCCGGCGCCGGTTCTAGAAGCACTCGGGGCCTGGAAGGGTCATACTCCGGAGCCGCTCCTAGCCTCGCGTTTTGTCTGCCCTCTTGGTCCCCTCCCTGACTTACCTGCTGTTTATTTCCTGGCCAGGGGGACGGGGAGCCTCCTGCTGGGAGGGGCCGGGCCGAGCTGGCCCGGAGCCAGGGAAGGAAGGGGCCTGAAGAAGATGCCTGCAGCCTCCCGGACCCCTGCCCTACAGCCCCCCCGGAGTCCCCTCTCCTGACCTTCCCCCTCCTTAGCTGCGCTGAGTCCTCAGAATCTTCCAGCACAGATCTCAAAGTCCAAGGAGCCACCAGCAGGGGCCCCACCAGGGTGACACAACAAACCAACCCGTCCAGCCAACCAACAGCTGAACACTCACCCGGCTTTTCATGCGCTTCAAATGCCTGAGTTCTGCGGGTCAGGTTGGGGGCAGAGGGATGAGTATCATTTTGTCAGAACTATATGCCACTTATTCAGCTTTTACTATGACGCCGGTCCCTATGCGAGTCACATCAGCCCACTTAGAGCTCAGACAACCCCACGGAGCCGTGCAGCGGTTGCCCGTCGGGAGTGAAGCCAGGGTTCGAACACTTATTTTTTCTGTTTCTCTGGCTCTGGGTTTATCTCCAGGTTTTAGTGCTTCCCCCTGTTTCTAGCACTTTTAAAAAAGTCCTCACTCGAGGATATGTTTTTATTGATTTTTAGAGAGGAAAGGAGAGAGAGAGAGAAACATGGATGCAAGAGAGACACATGGATCAGTTGCCTCCCCGTGGGCCCCAGCCAGGGATCGAACCCGCCACCTTTTGGTGTGGGGAACGACACTCCACTGTCTTAAAAGTCAAACTCCAGGTCTGTCTGAATCCAAACTCTATAGTTGTGGTTTCTTTTAAGTCGTAGAGTATATTACCCATAGCATCTATAATTTTATCTATACTTATACTATTGATAAAACCATTAGTAATAAGCAGCTATAATTTGCTAGGCATTTATGTGCCTGGCACTCTACTAAGTACTCTGTCTGTGTGCACTTATTCAATCCTAGGGGAGCTCTAGGCAGGAGGCAGTTTAAACCTCTACTTCACAGTGGGGAAACTGAGGCTCTGAGAGGTGAAGTCCTCCCCTCAAGAAGTCACAAAGTCAGTAACTGGCTGAGCTGGGATTTGAACTCAGGCAGTGAGGTTCCAAAGCCTTCATGCTTTTAATTCCTGCCTTGTGACCCACCCCAGGGAAGCAGGACTCTAAGAGGGGAAGCTGTCCCTTTCTAGAAACCAGAGGCCACTTCTGGGGGTGGCATTGACCTCACTCCCCAGCAGGAGACCTGCAGCCCCACCCACAGACACAACAGGGGAGGGGAAGGAGACTGTCCTGTCAGGCTGCAGAGGAAAAAAGACTCCTCGACTGGGCTGGGTGGAGGGTGGAGGGAGCTAGAGATCGCCCCTATCCCTTCCCTCCTGGCTGGAGGGTTGGAGGGAACAGGGGCCTCCAGTCCAGCTCTGCCCAGAGGACATTCCGTCCTGTCCTGTTCTGGTTGTGTTCCAGCCCTGTTTGTCATCCTGCCCAGAGGGTAGGGGTGGGCGGGCCCCACTGAGCTGGAGGCCTGGGCAGAGGGAACAGAGAGTGGGAACAAGAACAGGGGTGGGGCCCCCACCTCCCAGGCAGCTGGGCTCTGTAATCTTCTCTGTGGCAGGCTTCTCCCTCCATAGAAGGAACCAGCTGGTGGCTCCTGCAGACCCTCCTTCCAGTTCCCAACTTGTTCCCTGACAGGAAGTGTGGGCCTCTCGCTGGCTTCACAAACAGTTGGGTCTCCGGCCTTTACCATTAAACAGAGTGGGGGCTAGTTCCTCTGGTTCAGGGTTCCAGCCTCGACCCCTTTACTAATTAGCTGTGTGACTTTGGATAAGTTGCACAGCCTCCCTGAGCATAATAAAAACACCTACCTCACAGGGTTCTTTCTTTCTTTCTTTCTTTCTTTCTTTCTTTCTTTCTTTCTTTCTTTCTTTCTTTCTTTCTTTCTTTCTTTATTTATTTATTTATTTATTTATTTATTTATCTATTTATGTTTTTATTGATTTAAGAAAGATAGGGAGAGGGAGAGAGAGAAACATCTATAGCTGCCTCCTCCACGCCCCCTACTGGGGATGGAGCCCGCAGCACGCACATGTGCCCTGACAGGGAACTGAACTGGCTACCTGGGTGCATGGGACTCCTCAACCAACTGAGCCACACCAGCCAGGGCCTCACAGGGTTCTTTTAAAGATTAAATGAGTTAATATATATCAAAGGCTTAGAAGAGGACCTGGCAATTGGTGAGTGCTCTATAAAGGTTATATATATATATTTATTACCCCCCCCCCTTTGCCCACATCAGGGATGGAAGGGTTAAGAGCCTGTTGGGCACTGGAGAAACTGGGGGCTCTGGTGTTCATTCTGTGGTGAAGTGTATGTGCAATTACACTACTTTTATACAAGCACTTTGGGAAGAAAACTAAATAATAGCTATAGTAATAATAATGATAGTGTCACTGTAGTGAACACTCATGGAGCTAAGGACCCCATGAAATCCTTTCAACAACCCTGTGAAGCAGGCAGAGTGATCTCCCTGTTATGGTGGCATCACCGGCCTAGGTGACCAGCTGCAAATCCCAGGTCACCCACCAACACCCAACCATGTTCAAGGCATCTCACTTAGTCTGACAATGTAGCTACTAGTATTTTCCCTGTTTTCCTGAAAAGAAAGCAGGGGCGGTGATGGAACTTGCCTGAGGCCACATGGCTTTTAGCAGCAGCGCCAAGTTAAAAACCAGGTCTATTTGCGCCTGGAGCCCTGTCTGAGTTGAACATGGTTTATTACATACCAATGGGGTGTCCTGCCCCCAAAGGTCTGTTCCCTCACTGCTCTTCAACTTGATGTCGGTGGGGGAGGGAAGGCATGGCCGCTATTTTTCCAGGATATGAAACAGGCTCAGAGAGGCAGTCACTGGCAGAAGGCCACACAGCCAGGAAGAGAGTGAACTGGGATTTGAGCCCTGACTTAGGGGCCTGTGCTCTTAAATGCCATGCTTTGGCAGGTGTGCCCACCCAAGGGACCCCTGCCTTGCCCCTCCTTTGCCCAGTGGCCTCAGTCTCTTCCCCTTGTCCCATCCCTGCTGCCTCTGGATTTCCCCAGCTGGACAGTCTCCCCAGCTGGCCTGGTGCCCAGCCCTGCTCCAGCCTCCTGGCACTCTGCCCAGCTCAGGACGTGCAGCTGGAACCCTGCCACCTTTCCTCTGTTCCAGCAGAGAACAGGGGGCGGGGCCAAGGCCTGGAGGCCCCAGGGTGAGGCCTGAAAACGGGGACTAGAGCCCAGTACCCCCCCCAACCAGGAGAGGGGGTAGCCCACTTCCTTCCCTGTCCTGAAGAGCTAGCTGGCCACCTGTGAGCAAAGGCCCAGAGAAAATGAGGGGACCCTGGCCCACTTTCAGGGCTGCTCCAAGGCCTCTCTTCTGACACCAAACTGGGTACTGGGGGGTCTTGCAAGAAGTGTAGAGGATTTGGGAGGTTTAGGCTGCATCTGGGCAGGGACCCTCTTGGCACTGCCCAGAGGTGGCCTGAGAGGCCAGAGTCAGGGTTTGGAATTGAGAAGGGATTTGGGGTGTGGGCCGAGAGGAGTCTCCCTGCTCCCCAACTCACTCATTCTCAGGGACACGGTCATCCATTGGGGTGTTCATACCAAGTCCTGTCTTCTTTGGGAACCCTCTGACCTGAGTTCCAGAAGACGATAGGACTTTGGGGGCATTGTCCATCAGGGACTTCCCAAGAACACCCCTGATCAGGGTGAGGTGGCAGCAAGCCCAAGCTGGAAGAGAGGAAGGGGGCCCACTCACCATCGCCTAGGCCTTCTTTGCCCCAAGTGCCATCCTAGGGGTGCAGGAGGGGATGGAGCGTGGCCCGGATCTGGGTACGAGTTCTGAGTGGGTGGTGTGCGGCGCTGGGATGACACCACAGGAAAGGGTTGGCCTTGGGTGGGGAGGGGAGAGCACTCCTGCTAAGCCAGGAGGGGCCCCCACCCAGTCAGGAGGGGGCGCTGGGAGGGGTTGGGCCCAGGCGGCCCAGAAGGGATGGAATGGAGTTCCCTGGTGGGCCCAGAGCCAGAGACTGGAATAGATGGGGGGGGGGGGGGTGAAAAA